TACTGAACATTTACTAAATGCCAAGCCCATTTAATCATCACTTCAATCGATGAGATGGCTGGTGTTATTATTCCTGTTTTGTAGACATGTAAGCTGAGCCTTATAGAGGTTAAAAGTGACTTTGTTGAGTTTATACAGCCAGAAAGTGTCAGAACTGGGATCTGAACCACATCTATCTAACTCCAAATTTTTAGGTAATAAACACTACATTAAAGAACATTAAATAAATTAATTAAACATTAATTAAATTCAAACATTAAAGCAATTCTTTATTTTGAATACTCGAAAGTTTTGTTATCATAATAATTTCTTATAACCATAAGCATCAGACAAGCACACATTTGCACCTCAATTGGCTTTTCTTTTTTTTTTTAAAGATTTTATTTATTTATTTGACAGAGAGATAGAGAGCACAAGTAGGCAGAGCGGCAGGCAGAGGGAGAGGGAGAAGCAGACTCCCCGCTGAGCAGGGAGCCCGATGTGGGGCTCGATCCCAGGACTCCGGGATCATGACCTGAGCCAAAAGCAGACGCTTAACCGACTGAGCCACCCAGGCGCCCGGCTTCTTTTCTTAAAAAAGAAAAAAATGGTTACAGAGAGCAGTGATTACTTTTTATGAGTATTTTCTTACCTACTTCCATCATAAATATAAAGTTCTTAAAAGTTTTTCAACATTAACATCACCTTTACCTAAATATTGGTTTTTTTTTTTAAGAATTTATTTATTTATTTGAGAGAGAGAGAGAGAAGCAGACTCCCCACTGAGCAGGGAGCCCAATGTGGGGCTCGATCCCAGAACCCGGAGATCAAGACTCAAGCCAAAGGCAGACACTTAACCGACTGAGCCACCTAAATATTGTTTTTTACTAACATCATTTGAGTGTCCATTACAGGGGCTGGCCCTGTTTTAAGGGCTTTGCATTCATGATGTTATTAATCGTCACTCTCGTAGAGATTAGGTATTATCCATGTTTTACAGATGAGGAATCCAAAGCTCAGAGAAGTAAGTAATTTCCTCAAAGTCACACAACTGCTGAGAGTTCATGAAACCAGAATTTGAAAACCAATCTGATCCCAAGGCCAATTATGCTCATTCCATGTTGGCTCAAGATAAAAGCCATCTTCGAATACAGAGTTAGTGGGGCGCCTGCGTGGCTCAGTCAGTTAAGCGACGGCCTTCGGCTCAGGTCATGATCCTGGAGTCCCGGGATCGAGTCCCGTATCGGGCTCCCTGCTCGGCAAGGAGCCTGCTTCTCCCTCTGGCCCTCCCCCCTCTCATGCTCTCTCTATCTCATTCTCTCTGTCTCAAATAAATAAATAAAATCTTTAAAAAAAAAAAGAATACAGAGTTGGAGACGAAGTTACATTAAAACACAATATGCAGTAGTGTTCAACAAATAGAAGACTATTCTGATTTATAAATTACTTAATTTTTCCCCTTACATTTAAATACAGTTGGCCCTTGAACAACATAGGTTTGAACTGTGTGTGGGTCCACTTATACATTGATTATTTTAGATTTTTTAAAAAATACAGTACAGTGCTGTAAATGCATTTTCTCTTCCTTAAGATTTTCCTAAAACATTTTCTTTTTTCTAGCTTACTTTATTGTGAGAATGTGGTATATAATACATATAACATATAAAATATGTTTTAATTGTTTATGCTATTGGCAAGGATTCTGGTCAATAGTAGGCTATTAGTAGTTATGTTTGGGAAGAATCAAAAGTTATACATGGGTTTCTGACTGTGCAAAGGTTGGCGCTCCTAACCTCACATTGTGCAAGGGTCAACTGTATATGCAGAAATTCAAATGAGGGTAATGAAATAGTTGATTTATAAATGAGAAGGATTTTTCATCAGTATATTAATTACATTTTAATATATATATATATTTTAAGATTTTTATTTATTTATTTGACAGAGAGAGACACAGCGAAAGAGGGAACACAAGCAGGGGGAGAGGGAGAGGGAGAAGCAGACTCCCCGCTGAGCAGGGAGCCCGATGCGGGGCTCGATCCCAGGACCCTGGGATCATGACCTGAGCCGAAGGCAGACACTTAACGACTGAGCCACCCAGGCGCCCCTATTAATTACATTTTAAAATAGCATTTTGCACCTTATTGTACATATCTTTAACTCTTCTTCTATATAGTTAATGCACACATGAGACAAATTTTCAATTGATGTATCAATTATATTTTCATATACCATTTTGTATATCATCTACGGTGCTACCAAATTTAAAATAGCTGGATAGCTCTATTTAATGAGTATATTATAATTCAATTAACTAACTTCTTATTGAACATGGTTCCAATTTTTTAATACTATCATCTATACTGTAATGAATATCTTTGTAGATAAATCTTTGCACTCATCCAACCTCTGTGCATTTTTAATTCATCTTTAAGGCACAATAGACTTCACCCAAACAAATGACTCCAGTAGTGGCAATTTCAGGCTGTAACAAGCATGTGGAAAAATATTTGGCTGTAGGTGATCCGTTCAGCTGTCTCTAATTGTCCTCTCAAGGTGACTGCTTACTTTGCCAAGTTAGACATTAGTTTTGGAGAGCACTCTAAAAGCTCTAGAGTTAGAGCAGTTCCTAGGAAGCCTTCTTCGTGATGTAAGTAAGGCTGTAATATAAGGGAAAGGAAAGGAATGAACTGAAACAAGTTTTGTTGTAGAATCGTAAAGCCTGGGGCGCCTGGGTGGCTCAGTTGGTTAAGCGACTGCCTTCGGCTCAGGTCATGATCCTGGAGTCCCAGGATAGAGTCCCACATCGAGCTCCCTGCTTGGCAGGGAGCCTGCTTCTGCCTCTGACCCTCCCCCCTCTCATGTGCTCTCTCTCTCTCTCTCGTTCTCTCTGTCTCAAATAAATAAATAAATAATAATAATAAAATCTTTAAAAAAAAAAAAAGAATCATAAAGCCTAGGGATGCCTGGGTGGCTCAGTCGGTTAAGCGTCTGCCTTCGGCTCAGGTCATGGTCCCAGGGTCCTAGGATCGAGCCCCGTATCAGCCTGCTTCTCCCTCTGCCTGCAGTACCCCCTGCTTGTACTCTCTCGCTCTCTCTCTCTGGCAAATAAATAAAATTAAAAAAAAAAAAGAATTATGTGTAGCCTAAAAAGATTTAGATTACTTCCCTCTCCATCTTCCCAGCACAAGGCCTAGCAGGTAGTAGCCAAGAATCGCAAACGGTCTTCATCTCTATTACCATCTCTGATTGATTGGTGGTGACTGAAGGAGTAGAGTGTTAAGAAAGTCAAGATCCTACGGGAAGAACACTGTACTCTGTTAGCTGTATCTTTTAAGGAAAGAGAGAAGTAACAGCCTACAGGTCACGAGTTTGCCATCCCTCTAGTAAATGTGTGACTAAATAAATGATAAAATGTTAATAATATAAAGTTGCTTTGTATTACCAAACTCTCTACTTCAGGGGGGCTTTTAACTAAAGTTACTGTAGTATTTTCTTAATATTTTAAAAAATTATTTATTTTTTGAATCAGTAATATCCTCATATAATTGACACTCAAAAGTCAGGAAAGGGTATACAGTGAAATACAGTTTAGGGGTGTCCTGTCTTGAACCTCATTTCCCTGTCTCCTATATCCCCTCTTCACCAATGTTAATATAAGAGATTTTTAAAAATCTAGGTTCTAACTCATATCTTCGTAGAAATTAAATTAATTATACCTTTATCTGAAAAGGCTAAATCATTACACTTTTCAAGAGCAGATTGAATCTGTAAACAATAATGAATTTAAACAACTTGTCTCTAGTTGAAAACCAAAAGCATTATTTATTTTCATGAACTAGATCAAATTGATGTTTTCAGTAACTAAATGAGATTATGTTGTATCTTCTTTTCCAATTCAAAGAAGAGTTTATTCATTAGTTTAACAGTTATTTATTGGGATCTAAGTCTTTGCATTGGTAAAAGTTACATTTTAGTGGGAGGAAAATGACAAGCTGCTAAAAATGTGCGTGCCAGATATTTCTCATGGAGATAAGTGGTACTGAGAAAACCAAACTGAGTAAAAAGGATAGGCTGGAAGGGGATTGCCATCTTATGTTGGGTCATAAAGAAGGAACCACTGAGGAGAGAATAGATGGACGGATAATTGAAGGAAGTGAGAAGTGAGTCACATAGCATTGTCAGAAAGAGCATTCCAGGTACAGGCAGTAGCAAGTGCAAATGTTCTGAGGCATTTCAGATGTGACTTTAGAATATTTCAGGAATAATAAGAAACCGGTGTGGGTGAAGCTGAATGAAAAAGTCTTGAAACCATAGGAGATAATGTCAGTTTATGTAGGGCTTTTTATGAATGAAATGAAAAACTGCTGTTGTCAGTATCTTTTAATTTCTATATTTTATTGCATTCAAGGTAAAGGGGAGAGTATGGACAACAAATCTCTGTGTATGAAAGGTCTTTATAACTAAAAGCCCTTTATAGATATTATCAAAATTATGCTTAGAAGTTGTATTTAATATCACTATAGCTACATCATAGCTTTCACAATTGAATTTGTTGTATTAAAGAGCTTAATAGAGTGGTTATCACCCATGTTTTTATTTTATATCTCAGGGCAATCTCATTCAGTTCCTCTTCATTTTACAATTTAAGGTTAATCTCTAAGTCTTTAATGTAAATTTTGTAGAAGTATCAAAATTAGGCAATTTTTTAATTTCAAACTTTAAGTTCTTAAAAATCCATCATGCTTAGGGGCGCCTGGGTGGCTCAGTCGATTAAGCGGCTGCCTTCTGCTCAGATCATGATCCTGGGGTCCTGGGATCGAGCCCCACGTCCGGCTCCCTGCTCAGCGGAGAGCCTGCTTCTCCCTCTCCCTCTGCCTGCCACTCTGCCTACTTGTGCTCTCTCTCTATCTCTCTGTCAAATAAATAAATAAAATCTTTTAAAAAAAAATCCATCATGCTTATAGATCTGTTATTCTTTAGAAATGACCCAACTTTTTGTTATTATTATTTTCTGACAGCATGCAAGACGACAGCCTAGAAGCTTCTACTTCCATATCTCAACTTCTAAGAGAGAGTTATTTAGCAGAAACTAGACATCGGGGAAACAATGAGAGGAGTCGAGCAGAACCTTCCTCCAACCCTTTCCATTTTGGCAATCCTTCTGGAGCTGCTGAAGGAGGAGGTCAAGATGACCTTCCAGATCTCTCAGCCTTCTTGAGCCAAGAAGAATTAGATGAAAGTGTCAATCTGGCAAGATTGGCCATCAATCACGACCCTTTGGAGAAAGCAGATGAAGCTCAAGCTAGAAAACATCTTTCATCTGATCAAATGAAACACTCACCTAAATCAAGTTTTGACCCCAACTTCTGTCAGGATAACTCTCAAGGTCCTACCAGCTCTGAAGAGAGCCCCCAGGAGGCAAAAAGGCCACAGTATAGTTCTGAAACCCAGTCCAAAAAAGTATTCTTAAATAAGGCTGCCGATTTCATTGAAGAGCTGTCCTCCCTTTTCAAAGCCCATAGCTCCAAAAGGATTAGACCTCGTGCCTGCAAAAACCACAAGAGTAAATTGGAATCTCAAAACAAACTTATGCAGGAAAATAGCTCCAGTTTGTCAGATATCTCAGAAAGAAGAGAAAGATCTTCTGTTCCCATCCCTATCCCTGCAGATACTAGGGATAATGAAGTGAATCACGCCCTTGAAAGGCAGGAAGCTAAGAGGCGCGAAGCTGAGCAGGCTGCGGGTGGAGACACCACCCCCGAGTCTTCACCTTCATCTTTGTACTATGAAGAACCTCTGGGGCAACCTCCTCGGTTCACTCAAAAGTTACGGAGCAGAGAAGTTCCAGAAGGAACCAGAGTACAGTTGGATTGCATAGTGGTAGGAATTCCACCACCTCAAGTAAGGTAAAAAAATATCCCATTAGTAACGTGTGGTAATTGCTTTCCATTTACCCTGATCCTCCTAAGTTTGTCTTTTAAGTGTGTGGTTTCAGAAATTATATACTCCAGGGGCGCCTGGGTGGCTCAGTTGGTTAAGTGACTGCCTTCAGCTCAGGTCATGATCCTGGAGTCCCGGGATTGAGTCCCGCATCGGGCTCCCTGCTCAGCGGGGAGCCTGCTTCTCCCTCTGACCCTCTCCTCTCTCATGCTGTTTCTCTCTCGCTCGCTCTCTAATAAATAAATAAATAAAATCTTTAAAAAAAAATTATATACTCCTTTTGAGAAAAAGTCAGAGTCTAACGTAGCACTCTCCAATAGAAATATAATATTAGCCACAGTACGCAATTGAAATTTTTCAAGTAGTCACATTTTCAAAAAGTAAAAAGAACTGGGTGAAATAAACTTTTAAAATATGTATTATTTTATCCATATATTAAAATATTATCATTTCAACAGGTAATCAATATAAAAATTATTAATAAGATATCCAGCGTGAATTCTACACTTATAACAGCACATCTCAATTTGACTGCTAAATTTTCCTAGGAAATATTTAATCTGCATTTCTATTTCATAACATTTACAGTTGAAAAAGTAGCTTAACATACTCAAGTTGCTCCAAACATACTTCAAAATTTCATAATAGCGGAATTATCAGTTTTTAAATTTACATTAATTAAAATTAAATATAATTTGAAATTTAAGTCCTAGGTTGCACCAGCCACATTTCAGGTGCCCAATACCACATGTGGCCAGTGACTGAGGTATTGGACAGCACAGGTCTACAGCCTGAAGCTTAAAACAAGAAAGTATTTAGGACCTATATTCAATGAATACCTGAGGTATTTTTTCAATTTTGAAGAAAGCCAAATGATAGAATAAAGACTAATAGACTAAAGAAAGAATAAGGTTGTCTTTTTCTCACATAGTATTCATATTATAGGACAGTAATAGTATTAATAATAATAGTTCTATTTATATTTGCCTATTGATTCAAGAGATTCTAGCCCAAAGACATATTCATATATTGAATTTTGCTTTTCAAAGGTAACATAATTTTATTTCTACAATGGCATATACACTACTATCCAGTTATCCAGATGAGCTTCTTGAGGACAAGGGTTTTCCTTTGTATCTTGAACACCTTCGTATCTGCTTTGTATCTTTCGGGCCCATGGTAGTCATTAAGAAATGTTAAGTAAACCAATGCATAAAGAAGCAGGAAAACAAGAAACTCAACTTCAGTTTAAATCAGGAGTGAGTCATTTGGCCTAAGATATAACAAAGGGTTGAAACTGTATGACACAGGGCAGTATCTACCCTTCTATTCTAAGCATGCCTGATGACACTCACTAGGAGTCTGGTTGGTAATGCTGGTGAGATATCATCACAGCACCATGATGGAAATCACTCAGTGACATCTGGTCAGTCTAGGTAAGCTGGTGAGTACTCAAGTTATAGTACACACACAACTTACTTAGATTAGTCTTGTCCAACCCACTAATTTCTGAACATAGAATGGACCCCCAAAAACCACAAAAACTAGACCAGATCATTCAGGACTGATTCTCCCCATTTCTTGACTGTGACAATCTCAGATACAAAAAAAGAATTCAGTGTTCCTGTGAGAAAAATTCGCCAGGAAGAATTATAAGATACCCATCCCCCCCAAAAAAGTAATCTATGGTCACTCAAAAACTACTTAATCAACCAAATACAAATTTACAAATTTTAAGGTGAGAAAAAATGTAAACAGCTTCTATGTAACAATACTAATTTTACCTGGAAGAATTTCTTCCCTGATAGAATTCATGCCTGTTTTCCTACCACTGGTTTGGTGCCAGGAAATTCTTAGGTATTCACTAAATATTTTCTGAATGAATTAGTACTTAATTTATGGCAGCAATTATATTACAAAAAGTTTAGAATTTTTTATTAGCTGTCATTATTGTCCTAAGCCCAGAGTTTACATAACTCTAATTAACTGGACAGCAAATATATTTTTACTATGTGCTCTGCACTTTGATTATTGCAATGACAGAGACAATATAAGACATGTCCCTGCCCTCAAGGAGCTTGTGATTCAGTTAAAGGAATCATCCAAATTTGTATAGTACAAAGCCATAAGAACTCTTCAGTCTTCAGAGAAGGGATGGAGGACTAGAAAGATCAAAGAAGGCTTCAGACATGTAGGGTGAGAAGGAGTGAGAGGATTTAGGAAGAAATCTACTCATTTATTCATTCATTCATTCATTCATTCAACAAATACCTATTGAATTACGAAAGTGACTCACTGGGAATACAAAACAACTGTGAGCTATTGGAGGTCAAAGACCTTGTTTTGAAACCAAGTCTAAAATTATTCTGAGAGGGTAGCTCACAATCTAAAAGAGCAATCAAGCAGGCATGTAATCAAAATGTTGTGACATTGTATGATAAGGGCTATAACAGAAGTATGTATAGAACACAACAGCGGCTCAAAGGAAGATGTGATTATTTTGCCTCAAGTGCTGGAGAAAGGAAGCATTCACAAAGGAGGTGACTTTAGTTTGAAGAGACCAAGGGTGGAGAAGGAAGCAAGTGCATAGGTCTAAAGACAAGTGTTTTCAAGGAACCGCAAGTACTTGGCTATGTGAAGGACATGGGGTAACAAGTGAGCAAAGACGAGCGAAAACATTGAAGAAATATACAGATGGATGGGTCCTTTTAGGCCAGGTCAATTTAACACATTCATATAAAGGCACAGACGCTGGAAGAGTAATATTTTTATATGACAGGGAGGAGACTGACCTAACCTGAAAAGACAGTAGAGCCAGATGATTTTGCAGAGCCTTGAAAGCAAAACAGAATAGTTCAGATTTGGTTGCAAAACGATCTGGAAACCATTTATAAGGTTGCGTATAGGGAAGTACCAAGATGAAAGGGAGCACTTAAGTAGAATTAGTCTGGAAGGATGAGTTAGACTTGAAAAGAATGAAGCAAGTAAGCTGCTTAGGAAGCTGTGGAAGATATCCCAGGCATCAGATGTTCTGATCGGATTTGAATGGGGGCAGTGGGAAAGCAGAGAGAAGTTGTGAGTGAGCAAGATTTAGAAGAAAAGAAATCAAGCCAAACTTGGTGGCTGACTGGATAGGAAGGATGAGTAAAAAATGTTAGTCCACATGTTTGAAGCTGGGTACCTGAGAGAATATCGGGGTCACTGGCAAGGACTAAGAAAATGGAAGATGTGGCTGACATATGGCGGAGGTTGATGATTTGAGTCTGAGGAGACCGAGGGACAATATCCAATAGGCAGTTGGAAATGCAGGACTGAAGGTCAAATGAGAGGGTAGTGGCACTGGAGACATTCCAAGGAATGACCTGGACACTGGGAAATCTGGACACAATATCTCTGTAATTACAAAGGGACTATATATAAACAGGTAACACTTGGAACTAACTTCTACTAGTTCCAGACTGGTGTAGTGTTTTCCAACCTTCTTTTAGCAGTAACTACTCCTCCCAGTTTTCTCCAGCAATGAATCTGTTACATGTTATGAAGTTACACACACAAACACACACACACACAGTTTTAAGGATAAAATTAGAGGTTTTGAGATTGAAGAGCATTGGGGTGGAAGAAGCCCAAAACTCCTAAGGCATCTCCACAGAATCCAGAAGCACAGATTTTGATCCAGAGAATACCTTAAAAATGCATTAAAATAATAATGAGACATTTTGGTTTGCCACATAGAAACATGGCAGTCAATAAGAAAAGTATCCTTTCACTATTTTTGCAAGAAAATGTAATAAGCGTACCTGGCAAGTGAGGTCTAACCTTGTCTCTGGGTACCCCTCTGTGTAATCAGTATGTTATCCATGCTCTTGTAACTCTGGTTTAGCAAACTGAAAAATCATTTTTGGTGTATTTGTTGATTTCCAAATTAATTGGGCAGAAATTGCTTTGTTTTGTAGAGGGGAGATCCTCCATCACTGAAGGTAGCGTTTTGGAAGAGCTTGTTAATCTTGGACATAGTTTCATTGGAGGAGGTGCCTTAGAAAATGAAATACATTCATGCATTACCCACAGATAAAAGTGTCTGTAGGAATTCACAGCAAATGGCCGTGATCCCTTTTTGTATCCTGACTTCAAATTCTTTTCCCAGGAATGTACAGCTGGGTCACACCAAGTATGTTTGCTTGTACACAACCTTCTGAAGAGGCACAAATTTACCCTTTATAGGCATCAACGCCTGCTTTGGCTGCTTAGTTTTGCTATTGTTACTTCTGGACATTAGCCTGCAAGTGACATACTCAGGAAATAAATTCGTTACAAAGACAAAGGATATTTTAAATGACACGGGGGAATTATAAAAATATTATAAACAATTGTATTATGATACATAGTCTAAAATATTATACAAATATTTTGAAATATCTTTAGGGGCTTTTTCTTCCAACTTTTGGGAAAATTTAGATGCCTTCATTCATTCATTTATCCAACCAATAACAAATGCCTACTATGTGCCACGTATTGTTATAAGCACTAAGATTAAAACAGCAAAAACAAGAAAAATTCCCTGCCTTCGTGGAGCTTAGGATCTAGTAAGGAACACAGACAACAAACAAAAATTCCCCAAATTATTATGTAATTACAATTGTGGTAAATGTGATAAAGAAGGGTGCATAGAGTGAAGGCACCAAACCTTATAGGTAGGCTGAGGAAGGTTTTCTTAAAAAGTGGTATTTAAGGGACGCCTGGGTGGCTCAGTCGGTTAAGCGGCTGCCTTCGGCTCAGGTCATGATCCCAGGGTCCTGGGATCGAGTCCCACATCGGGCTCCTTGCTCGGCGGGGAGCCTGCGTCTCCCTCTGCCTGCCTCTCCCCCTGCTTGTGTTCTGTCTCTCTGACAAATAAATAAATAAAATCTTTAAAAAAAAAAAGTGGTATTTAAGCTGAGAAATAAAAGAGCCCAGCAAAGTGGGG